TGGATTCCACCACTGCTACTCCGGTCCACTTGTCAGCTGCCCCAGACTTTCGAGTGATCCCGCACATTCGGAATTTCTCGGTTGTCTAATCTCAATAAAACATCATGACGTTGGTCACCAGAAACGTTATGGTGCATGTACGCAAATTTCAACTATCAACAAGATAGCTCGCTCAAAATGCTAACTCGAAACTTATAAAGAGAAATCTCGAGGGTTCATAACTAACCCCAAATGCAACTAGAGTTTACCCAATAAACACAAGAATTCGAAACATAACAAGGTGGATAGTCCTAAGCCCCAAATAAGATAATCAAAAACAACAAACTCATAACTCGAGTTGGCGCGGCAAGAAGAAAGCGAGTGGTCGATGGTCATTAACAATACTAACACTATAGATAGTCTACAGAAACGCAGACTAGCTATGATACCATACTGTAACACCCCGTTTTTATTTTATAAAGTTTACTGAATTTATTTATGAAAATCAGAGTAAATTTTTCGCAAAATTTAAAATTAATACTTTGAATTTAAACGGGCGCTACCTAACTAACAACAAAAATGACAATTAAAAACAAACACCAGAACCTACACATGCATTTCTAACAACATGATAATCAAACCAAGTTATAATAAGTTTCCAAAACCAATTCAAAAGGTCTCAACATAATCTTATCAACAGGTGTAAATGTTTAGGCAGAAGCATCATAATTCACCAATAACAATTCAATATGAAATAAATAAATGCGGAAGCAAAGACATGACGACCCAATGACCACCACTTGCTCGTTTTTCATTGTCGCCGCCATCAATACACAGCCTAAAGATAAGAAGAGGAAACAAGAGGACAAAACAAACAATGGGGGTGAGCAAAACCACTATGCTCACCAATACCGCACAGTATATTTCACAAACTGTATACCGCACAGTATACCGCACAAACTGTATACAGCAAAACAAGAGCAAAGTATACCGCACAAACTGTACCCACCTGGTGGTAGCAAAAATCACAAAAAGCGAAGCTCGGTAAGTGGCGAGGTCAACACCTCAAAACTCCAACATGAAATCACGATAGCTACTCGATTACTATCAATCCAACGAACACTTAAACTTAGTTGAAACATTTCAACTAAATAGCTCGTGGATAATCTCGTGGAGTTATGGAACATTTGACTCGACTCGAAACCAAGTATGGGAGAGACACATAATAACCAAATAATTAGTTGACCAAGTCAAATAGTCAGTCAAAGGTCAACTATGGTCAAAGGCTTGGGAGAAAGTCCAAAAATTAGTTTACGGACTTGGCTCGTGTGGGGTAGGGCGCTGCCGGTAGGCCTGAGCGCTGGCACGCGTGCGCTGCCAAACGCTGCTGGCCTATCGCACGGTGTCAGGTGCTGCCAGCACTCGCGCTGTGTGGCGCTTGCGCGTTGTTTGGCACTCGCATATG